ATAGAAATGTGCTGTCATCAACGATTGACAAACCGGATATCAACGTCTCTGCCGAGGTGGACGTGACACCTTAACTACACTTACTGTATTGCAATGGCGACGAGCTGTTTTGGTTTTCAACTGCGTGTACAGCTCTCTGCCTGGTTGTAGAGCGATCGTCACTTGCAACTTTTGAGCCAAGAACCACCAAGGCGACTTCATCAAGCGCCAGACAAACGTGGCAGCTCCTGATAAACAGACTACACGTAAACAAAAGACCAACACGCAAGCACACAAACCGGCTCTGTGACATCTGGCAGTACACTGGCATCATGATATTGCTCACGGCATACGCAGTTCTACTGGAACAAGTACACAGGATACTTGAGAGGGCAGGTGCACCAAGGGATAAACAGCGCTGCGTGGAAGCGTCGATTCCTTGGACCAGCTCGATCGACGCAGAGAGGCACGATCGCGGCCTCCAACAAGTCCAATATACGCTGTATGCAGTTCAGAAGCGGGTGGAATTGCCCATGGTTGCATTTTCCAGTGTATTTTTTTGGTTGCAACAGCTGTCGCGAGTCGGGCGACGGTGTGAGAGTGATGGTTTGGGTACTTGCACTCATATTTTCCTCTCATTTGCTTTTTCGATGAGTGACGACGAAGGCGAGGACGCGTATCATTTGCGCTCGTTTGCACGTGACGTGGCGGTGCCGCACTGCTGCTTGTACCAGCCAAAAGTCGAGCGCAACCCAACGGCGACACTCGGTAGCATCGCCGTACCTTCGTGGCCGCTACCGACGGAGACCCTCGCGGCGCTGACGACCACGTACGCTGGCCGCGTCCCGGCCAAGGACGTCGTCTTCCGCGGCTTCCACGCGATACCAAGGCATGCGTTCATGTTTGAGTCCTCCATCCTCAAGCAACTCGACCCGGAGCAAGACGAGGACGATGAGAAGTTGGAGTTCAGCATGACACTGGCGCATTTTGCGATCGACTTGACCGGCGACGCGTCGGCGTTGAAGCCAACAGACCGACCACCACGCCATACCTTTGCCACGGCCGTCTACTTCTTTCCCTCCAACTGCGTCGGTGGCGCCGTCACGATCTCACACGACCACCGGACGACGACGTTCGAGGCCCTCGACGGACGCTTTCTCTCGTTCTACAGCACGTGTGACGTGACGGTGGCGCCCATCACGTCCGGGCACCGGTCTTTTGCCGTGTATCACGCAGCGTACATCCTGGACGACTACGACTCGGACTACAGCTACGGGCCCAAGCCCAAGTTTGCACCGCCACCGCTGCCGTCGATCCAAGAGCTCCAGGAGGCCGCTCGTGGCTACGATTGCTCTGAAGCCATTGCTGTCACGGTCCGGCTCAATACGCGCGGCTTGACGCCGACGTTTGATTCGCTCACGGGGCATGACAAGGCGGCCGTCGACCGGCTACTAGCGACAGGCGTCTTTGACATTGCACTTGTGCGGGCGGGCAACAACGACGACAAGAACGAAGCTATTCCTGCGCTGTACGAGACGTTTCATCCACTATGCACGACCCCGGTGATCGTCCAAGAGGTCTATCACCAGACGCCAATCAACGAAGTTGCAGAAGACACGGACGAGATCGAGTCGCCCGGCAACTCCATGCTCGTGTGGCCCAAGGCGAACCGCGTGCGCATCCTCGGCTACGACCGCACGATCGCGCTCTTGCGTGGCAATGTGGACGGTGACGTGACCGACGACCTCGGCTTGGGGTC